AACAGGAATATTTTCAACTAAATAGCTTAAAATCATGTGTTTATCATCTCTCTCAACGTCTGGAATGATTCACAAACATATGAAAAGAAAAAAGTGTAAAAATGACAAATTACCATCATAAAATCGTCTAAATTATTACAAATAATTCCTTGATTATCTTTTGTTGCCACAGTAATGTCAGACTGTTGAACGGAGTGCCTCAAAAGCTCCATCAATAATCACACAGATGGGACTTAAAGTGCTGAAAGGTGTGTCTATTTTTATCATTTATCAAAATGTACATTTCTTGAACTTAAAAAGAGATGCTCCTGACAAAGTGAAATTCATCTGAGTTTTGTTTTTAAACGTTGACGCCACATCACAAGTCAAACATGATCTAATGCTTGCATGTTGAATGTTTTTTGTTGATTGTTCATAATAATGTCAGCAAAGCTTTAATTTAGTGGTCAGGTGCAGTTTATTTTCCAGGTCCATGAATGCCTAATTACGCCCTTGGACGGTCTGTAGAAAGAAAGTTGTGCTTTGGTAAGAATTAAAGGACACCAAACAAAACAAAAAAAAAACAACCTGATCTCACAGAAATACGTGACATGACCTCTTCACACTGCATTACTTGGTGGTGGTGGTGCCAGCAGCATGGAAACAGTGCCAATAGAAGGTCAATCAGGGTTGTTTGTCGAGGTGAACAACAAATTTCCTGCTTCAGCAGCATGACGCAGTGTGTGTTACAACCTCATGGGCAGTATAAAGAGTGACAGTCTGCATACGGAGGAGGGTGAGGTGGACGGATAAAACAAACACAGGACTTTGACGAAGGAGACTGCTGTTCATGTCCTGTGTGAAACTACAGGTCTTTGTGACACGCTTACATCCCCTACTTAACAAATGCAGTTATCTCAACAAAGTAGAATTACCACCTTGCAGTTTTAGACCTCGAACCACAAACTAGTTAAGTTGCAGTTACAGTTTCTATCCATGTCTGTCCAGATTTATGTGACAGCTGACGATGCTTCAAATATGGATGTTGCTTCATAGAAGCTGCATATGAACGCTTCACACACAGATCTATACAGTCAGCACAGTTTCAAGATTAGAGTCACCAATTCCGTATCTGACCAAATGTTTCTCCTTCTGTTCCTGAGGTATGACGTTAAAACATGATGATGTCACAGTCAAGCTGACCTTTGACCTTCATGATTTTATCCTGTTAAACATTTGTGTCAAGCTTTGTCAGAATTAGCATATACATTCTTGAGTTATGGCCAAAAACATGTTTTGTCACAGTGGACGTTTGTGCCAAATTTTAAGAAATTCCCTCAAAGTGTTCTTGAGATAACATGTTCATGAGAGTCAGACGGATGGATGGACAACCGGAAAAACATACTGCCTGCAGGCACGGCTGTTGTTGGCGTGGAGCCATAAGAACAAGATCTTTTTCTAATGTTGTGCTCACATTAAACGCAATGCAAATTTTGAAGTTTGAACACTAGAATATTTTGTGTTGACTTACTTTATACGTGCGTAAAATGGCTGAATCGATGAATGAACTTTGGCTGGTATGTCCCCGGAGGATCTCAATGCCGATTGGCTATCGCAGCGTGATTTGGTTGCTTAAATTCAGATTTTTCAACTCTCACAAATGAGCGTGATGTGAACTTGCGCTACTCACTTCATCCACATCGCGTCCATCACGCCGCCTGGCAGGAAGTGGTGTCTAATCACGTCTTTACATTGACTTTACATGTAAATCAGTTGCCTGAGTGTTTTATTTGCGCCCAGTGTGAACATATCGTAACTCAACCAAGCAGTTTTTGTGCCTAAACCCACAACTCCACCAATAACCACCACCAACCACCAGTAATTAAACATGTTTGGTACCATCAACACGTAATGTGGTGTGAAGACGTTGTGGTCATCTGATTTATTTCTGTGAGATCACATTCTCATGTAGTGAGACCACATTTTATAGTTTAAATAAGACTTTGACAGTGTGTGAAAAATTATTTTTTAACCTACACACTTGTCAACAAGACTTTCTGGTGTGTGAGAATTTATTCCTCATTTTACTAATTACAGTTCAAATAGAGAGAGTATTCAGGTACGACGCTCTCCACCAATTGATTTCTATTCTACGCTGAACTAAACTGAGTAACCGTTAAATTTAGTCGTTAAATAAAATGAGCTTTTCTCTCACAGAAGTTCTTCTGGAAGAGAACATCTGCTCTTAAACTCAATACAATTACATATATAAAAACTTTGACTTCTCAGAACTTTAAATCCAGTTTGTCTGTAATTGGTACCAAAACTTCTTTCCAAGACACTTTAAAGAAATAATTAGGAAGAAACAGACCCACAAAATAAAGTGTTACCATACCTGTTCTCCTTAGTGCTAGAAAAATATTCAGTATACCAAACTGAAGCTAAAGTGGAAGTTTTAATGAGGCAGTGCATCAAACAGAAAAGAGATTTTTACATACTTTTTCATCCAAATGACGTGAACAAATCCTGAAAATGACCTCAGCAGAACATCGAGTCAGCTTCAGTGATGTAGCAACAAAACAAATATGACTGAACAAAACATCCTGCTGCAGTTAATAAAAGATACCTGCAGCCGTAATGAGACTCAAACAATTCCTAAACTTGTTTGCTGATGACTCAATGTTCTACACGGGCTAAACAGTTGCTGCTAACAACTGAACAGATCTCTGTTTTCTATTCAAGTTGGGACTAGACAATCGGAGAGCTTAGAGGAGGAGACAGCTACACGCAGAAGTCTTTACAGGAATCTCATTGTTTTCTGCAGAGGCATGCCTTCATATTAGGTTTCAAATTTAAGGAGAAGTATTCATTTGCAAACAGGAAACAGGCGTAATTATTCTTTAAGGGTTGTTTGAAGTCACAGGAAGAGTGATGACGCTCACAGCTTTCTGCAGATCAGACCAAATGTAAATGCTGTAGCATTATGACGTGGTGGAATAACGGAGAAATAACTTTTAATGTACTGATATTTTGACTTTAACTGAATCTTGTGTCACATCGGAAAATGTTGGCATTGTACATTTTTGCAAACCACGGATATGTTAAATTTGCATGTTATTATGTAGAACATATGTTCAAATGACGTTTAATTAGTGTGCATTTAGGCTTTAGGAACAAAACTATTTGGCTATAGTAAGAAAAAGATCACGATTTGGCTCAAAATACCTGTTGTTTGGGTAAAATCCTGACAGGAAGTCAGTGTTACTTCTTTGACGAAAACTAAGACAAATGTTTTTTGTGAATGACCTTTTTTCCATGTCGAAAACAAGACAATGACAAGTTCAAAATAAATCTTGATAATAAAAACTAAGACGCAATCCGTTTCATTTCTGTTGACGAGACGAGACGTGGCGAAAATGCTCTTGAAAGCCGAGCAGCCTGCAGCTTGGCAGGTGTCACGCCATCCACCACGCCCTCCACCTCCTAATGACAAAGTCAGCTCATATACTACATCACTTTAGAAACACTGATATGATGCATATGACACATACAAATGTAATGTACTCATGTTTTGCAGAAACATACAATACCAACATTTTCTAATGGTGATCAGGCTGTGCTTCAGACAACACTGCACAAACTCTGTTTCATTAAACACAGTCCGACCAAACCCCAAAGATAAAAACGGATTTTCTCACTGCTTGTGGCATCTAGCTGTGCTGAGGTTTTCTGCTCTCCACTGCTTCAGACACTGGCCACCACGCCAGAACAGTTGATATAAACATTATTTAACTTGTGGTGCAGAGATAATAAAAGCATGAAAACCATAATCTGATTTGTCAGGATTCTCTCTCTCGCTGTCAACAGATTCAAACAGGAACTATACAGTAAGTGTTGACTTTTCCAAATGCCATTTTTAATAACTTCAACACCACAAGTGAAATTCTCTTCACCTTTGTTGTATCTGAATATTGGCAGATGTTCTCAGCTAAATGAAACCCAAACTATGTGCGAGACCTGACGCCACATGGAGAAGTGTTTTGTTTTGTTTTTTTGTAATTTGGATGAACTGACCATTCAGTTGATAATATCATCCTGGCAGCTGCAGTGAATATTTTTCATAATGCTGCAGCTTCTTTTTGCTGTCGGAAAAATAAAATTGCTGAATAAAAAAAATCATATTTGAACAAGATGCCTCACTCAAACAGTAATGCTGTGACCAGAAATGACCGCCTGTAGGGTTACTAAACTTTGGCTGCCGTGCACAGGAAGCCAAGCGTCAGTGGCCAACTGGAATTAGCTCGGTTCTTATTATTTATTGTCAAGCCACCAACCATCAGCTCAGGGTCTGATTGTTCAATCTGCCACGTGGAGAATCTGTAAGGAGAGTGAAGGCGGTAAAAATTACCACCATTAAACCTTGTGGGTTTTTTTAAACCTAACAGCACCGGTTGGTCAGGAACATTTGTCTGCAGAAGTGACATTTTAAAGCTCCAAGACATTTTCAGAGATATTTCCATATAAAGTCTAAATGTGTGTCAATATTTCTGGGCATTTTGGCTTCATTTTGCAATAATAAACATTATAACAGGAGGTAAATACGCTCAGAAAAATCTCTGATCTGTTCTGCCCTTTCTGTCGCCGTGACTAGTTTTCCTCTGAGGTGCAAAGGGTGTGCCTCCACAGCATGGGGAGTTGGAGAATGTTTGGGTTTGTATGTACAGTCCCGGTGACCCTTCCAGGACCCCGCGAAGGCATGAACAAAAGCAACCATCAGGACACATTATAACACTATAGAATAAGGCACATAGAATAGATAGATCATCAATATTTACATGGGATATGGCTCCACAAACACATGCACAAACGGACACTTCAAACAAACATCACAGTATTAAAAAACACCAAAACTTAACAGCCTACTTTTTTTTCTATCAGAACTTTTCCTCCCCTCTTATACCCCCCCCCCCCCCCCCCCCCACCCCCCCCCCCCCCCCCCCCCCACCCCCCCCTCTGCTCCCTTTAGTTTCCTCTCAGTTACGCAGTCTGGCAGCCAGGTCAGCCGATTCTGAAATTTAATATGATACAGTAGAATCGCAGCAATGTTCTCTGACCGCCCCGGAGCGCTCAGACACCCCAGGGTTTCAAACCATAATATGTGGCGTTGTCTATCATGATCTGAACTTGGTCTCTGGGTTTTTAACAGTTTGTGGCACCGGCTGCTTTTAACACATTCTGCAGGAACAGGCAGATTTTTGTTGATTAGCAGATATTTGCGCTCTGGTTTAAATCATGTAGCTGTTTATGGTGAGTTGGTGCTGAGGAAAACTGTGTGCTAACTATTCAGTAGGCCTGGGCGGTATCATGGTATTACGGTATACCAGGGTATTTATACATTTATACCATCAAAAATACAGACACTCATCTTTCTATTACCCTCATACTTGAGAGGCTGCACTGAGGATATTTTGCATGTAGTGCACATCACATGCCAACAGAGGTCAGTGTGGTGGAACAGGCAGCTGAGCTGACAAATGTGGTGACTGGCTGCGAGTGGTGGGATAATGTTAGAGGACTGTAAACTGCTGGTGGAGACTGCAGATTTTCACATCTAACTCTGTGAATTCAGGTTTTTTTTTTGCGACCAAACCAGAGTTGGTGATTGTTGTAACAGTGGACTAACTAACTGAACGACTAACGAGACCAACCAAGAAGGTTTTGGTGGCGTTTTTTTTTTTCTGTCAATTTTGAATGAAGTGTGTTTTATGAGGAGTCAACAGGGCAAGAGAGTGAAAGAGAGAAGCTTGCACTGCGGAGGTGAATGCTTGTTATTCTCTGCTTTATAAATAAATAGGTGTAAGAATGTTACCTTTATTGAGATTTTGAGAGCTTTTTGAGGTTGTTCATTAGACCGCAAAAGCCAAGTGAGCTTGCAGAACATAGCAAGTCCCCGGTTGAGTAGGGGATGGGGGGTTGGGCACACCACACACTAAAAAGCCTTATTCCCCAGTAAAATTTCAGGAGGGTATCAAAAAATAAATACCACCTTGGCCTACTAATTAGTATTCTTCCACACAAAATAAGCAGCTCTTCACAAATTCTAAAGACGAGATACAGAAACATATCTTGAATTTTTGCTCATCAGTCTAAAATTACAGTTAAAACTGGGCCGCCTGCCTGAAAACAATGTACATAATGTAACACTAACATCCAACACATCACAATTAAAACCACAACAGGGATTCTGATTCAAAGCTCCAGGGGCAAGGAAGGATGCATGTATCCTCAATGACAGGGGAAAGACAGTGGGGTGAAAACCAAATGTTCTAGAACATGATTTACAACTGTCGAATGTTGGTCAGGGAGTTTCAGAAGCCAGGAGGGATCTCAAATTCTTCTGTCACGGCCCTCATAATTCTAAAATCCGTTCGTTGTGGCTAACGCTGAAGAAGAACTCAAGAATGATTGGAGCAGTTCAGAGAACAGAGGATTCTAAACTCATGAGGCTGTCAGGGAGCTCTAGAATGTTGGTCAGGGAGTATCTGAACCCTGGAGGGTTACCAATTCTTCTACAATGGCCCTTAGAATTGTAAAATCATTTGTTTCTTTTTTCTGGCTGACGCTGGAGGAAAGTTCTAGAATGATGGGAGCAGTTCCACAATACAACGGATCCTGTACTGCTGCTGCTGCCAGAGAGTTCTAGAATGTATGTCAGGGAGTTTCAGAAGTCTTCTTTAACGGCCCTTGGAATTCTAAGATCCGGTCTTTCTGGCTGACTTAGGAGAGAAGTTCTAGAATGACTGAAGCACTTCCAAGAACAGAGGATCTTAAACTGCTGAGGCTGTCAGAGAGTTCTTGAAGGTTGCTCTGGTAGTTTCAGAATCCTGGAGGGTTCTAGAATATTTTAGGGGCTTGATTGATGGCCCTTAGAATTCTAGTCTCTCTGGCTGATGGTGAAAAGGAGTTCTAGAACGATTGGAGCAGATCCAGAACACAGATAGACTTAACTGCTGAGGCCGTCAGAGAGTTCTAGAATACTAGGAGTAGTTCAAGAACACAAAAGGTTCTCGCGTGTTGGGTGGCAGTTCCAGAACAAAAGCAAAGCCTTAAATAATTGTTCCAGAACAGCAAGGTAGGTTCCAGTGTCGTGCTTTATATCGGAACCTTAGGCAGAAGCCTCCTCTGTCCCAAAGGCTGCTGGGAGGATGATGTCACAACAGTTTCCAGAGCAATTTGGGCAGTTCCAAAACACGGGACAGTTCCAGAAGGTGGAAAATGCAGGACAGATCTAGAACCGGGTGCTGTGGGCGAAGCTGTCGGACATAATGATGTTCTTGTAGAAGTTGTCGGAGCGCGTGGAGCAGTAACCTTTCACCTTGTCGATCATCTGGCTGACGGGGAGGATGGAGGACGAGGAGGAAGAGGAGTTGGGCTCCGCCTCTGAAGAGGAGGAGCATGAGGAGACGCACTTGGGGCTGGTCTGGTTGGAGTAACATTTATCTGCAACCAGGGAGCAAAAATAAAAAGACAGGAACACACAAGAATTATTACTGGATCTATCAATAATCAATAAATCAGATGTGAATCATACAGGTGGTCCCTCACAGTGACAACATTAACATGCACACTAATATTTCACTATTATTCTAAATATGACAATATTCCAAATTTGATGTGGGTCATGTAAACAGCATGTTCTGTTTGAACTTTCCAAATTAGACCTCGTTCTGAATATGGCACTTTCTGATGAAGACGTGGGATATGTTGATATTATTTAGGTTCTAGGAGCATTAGTTGGACATGTATACAGCCCATTCAGTATATGCTTCTCAACTGGGGTTTTAACTGCAGTTTGCAACAGTGTCCTGTTAACAGTTAGCTCTGTGTGTTGTAGACAAACCCATGGATGGATTACTGAACGGGTCTTTTCAGACACAGGCCCAGGGACCTAAAGTATCAGGGCCCCCCAACCTTCAACTTGACAATGTCACTCAAAGAAACATCGACCAGGCAGAGACTCAAACTGACCACAAAGATACACAAAACATTTACAAAGAGATGCAAAACCGCCGCAAAGAGACTCACAATGATGACAGACACCGTGTCCTAACTGGATGCAAGCGTAAGACTATTGCGCCGCATCGTGTTACATCGGATGCTCTCTGTCTACACTGGATCTGTTAAATGGAACTCCCGTCACGTCATGTAAACAAAACACGCACCCAGCAGCTGTGCGCTCAGAGTAACCACTGAAAAGATGGTTCAGTACGTACTTCCTTATTATTGACACAAAGAACAATACTATCACAAGTAACAAAGATATGATTGTAGCTCCCAGACCGCATCATACCACCATCTCTACTTTGTAAAACAAACTAGCTTACTAGCATCCCACACAATGCTTAACCAGACACTTTCAGCTCTGTGGTGATCTCCCTCAAGCCGGATGACAACTTATTTAGGTTTTTGTAATGGAATAATGAGGTATCATGTAGGTAATTCCTCGTCCATTGCGGCGCTTGCGGTGTGAGCTACAGAATAAAAATAGAAATGGGGCATCTGGCAAAAGTTCAGCTCAAAGCGGCGCACCACATCGCGTCACTTGCAGGTAATTAGGACAATCCAGTAGAAAAGAAGGCAATCAAACTGATTAAGTCGCTGACACTTGCTCATGTTGCATCCAGTTATGACACAGTGAAAGAGAAAGACCACAGAAAGATGCATAACGACTGCAAAGAGAGGCAAAAAGAGGAGGAGAACAACTTCAAAAACCCGTTTCCACCAAGCAGTCTGGTTCAGTTCAGTTTGGTTCATTTTTTCTGTTTCCACAGTGAAAGTTGTGGATGGTACCAACAGAACCGTTTCTTACCGTCCCCATGTTTGGTCCCCCCTCTGTTGGGGTACCTAGCGCACAGATCTGGTACTAAAAGGTGGAGTTAGAAACCGTGCAGTCTGATTGGTCAATAGAGGACGGTCACTCTGAACTCTAAATAACTTCATTCACTGGGCCGACTGCCGGCAACTTTTAAGGTGGAGTGTTTACTTGTAATGTTACTCAATTTATGAGCTGATGACGTGAATCCATCAGCGCACCTTACATTTCACTGTGACAACTTTGTTCCATTAGTTTTTATATGAGACACTTTCAGTAATGTGTGGATCTTCAAGCGTCAAAAAATATACTGTATATATCCTAATTTATGAACGTCATATATTCTAATCCTCACTTGGCGGAGCGTCGTTCCTGTGGGCTACAGCAACACTAAACCCCTGAGCTTGCCTGAGAAGGACTAAATGCACAAAGCTGCTATTTTTAAATATCCCATGGAGAGAGACTCACTGCAGCCTGTTTGATTTAGTTCTGAAAATGTTGGCATGCAGCCTCATTCTGTGGACGATAAACCAGGTACAGACTTCCATCTGTCTCACCGCTGATGAGGAAATACAGCGAGTGCTGGACTGAGCAGTGAGTGACAACAACCCCGCCCTCATTTAAGAGGACTGTCTGTGGTGGAAACACTAAACAGACCAAGGGTCTAGGTACCATGTCTGAAGGGTTATTATTGGCTCCAAAGGTACGATACTGTAAGTCGCCCATGCACAAACCAACTTGCCAACAGTTTGTCAGGCTGAGGTAGAGATGCATGCCCAAACAAAAAGCCCTCATTTCTGGTGGGAAGGAGAAACATACTGTTTAACATTATGAAAGACCTGGGTATCAACAGGTTTTTGGATCATGTGCAAATATCACATATATGACAAGGCCGACCTTTTTAAGGAGATGGTTGAAGGAATGAAAGAGGGAGTTCATACAGTCCAACAAGTCCACCACCGGTGGGAAAGATTAAAAAAAATCCTATTCTAATGCAAAGAAAGCAAACGCCACGAGTGGCTTCAGCAGTTCCAATTTTCTATATTTGGATGTGATAAACATCACATTAGGGTACGTTAACCAGAGTCTGCATGTGAACAGGAATATTGGTGGAATATTCATTTTCATTAGACATATAAACATCACAGTACAGGAATAATGTCTCTTTGGAATTCAGGTCAAAACTGTGTGCACGTAAATGTAGTCAGTGTGAGATGGAGGCAGTCTTACAACTTTAATTAAGGTGGTATGTTTTAAGACCCGTTCTGCACATTAACACACAGCAGAAGAATTTATAATCAGCGAGGGAAACAAGACGAGGTTTAAATTCCAGTTACATAAGAGCAGCACAGTTTAAATGAACCTTTAAAGTGACTAAAACAAGAGGAGGAATGTGAGCGAGGGCAGAATGTCAAAGACAAACAACATGTATCATCTAATCTCATCACATACGTACGTAGATAGGCAGAGATGTGCAGTTATATCTGACACCACCCGTATAAAACCAAACAATCCACAGCAGAGTGTGGAGTGGCCGAAAGTCACCATGTTACTTGTGAAAACATTAGAAAGGGTTCATCAAGGTTGAATTAACATCTGTCTCACGCAGTTATGAAACTCCCGTAAAAGCGTTATTATGTGACCATAATTCCATTCTTAGGTCTGATGATGATGAGCGAGCCAGCTCCGTCTGTGGATGAAGAGCGGATGTCTTGAGGTTTTGATGTGATCACAACAACATAGGACTCTTTTTCCCCAAAAATTCTCAAGGTTAAGATCATGTTAGCTCTAAGATGGTTTTGGGAAGTCAACCAAATTAGAGATTTGTTTGTTCTCGCTGTAGTTGTCACTCAATTCTTGACAATTAGTACCTGAGCAGAGAAATACACACCACACAATGAGCGGCCTCATGTTGTTCTCTGTGGGGAAAACAAGGTAAATGGGCGGCAAGTGGTTTTGCTGACCATTTGCACCTTGATTATCTATTTCCTTCTTTATTTATAGCCACAGTATAGTGTTAACCTCTGACTTCAAGCAGAGTAATCAACTCGCCTGCCAGGCAATCTAGTTGTGGTCTGGTGTTATTTTCTTTTTACTCTTCTAAATGAAGTTGTATGGTTTGGCGTTCTTCCTTCTCGTAACCTTGTGATTTCAAAGGGCTTCAGAGCAAAGGGATTATATGGTCAGGTCGAGCAAAGCCTCGCTGGGTCACATCAAGGCTTCACAACAGCAGCCTCATTCATAAAGGCATATTTTGATTTCATATTCCACTTGATCCGGAGATCACAGAGCTGGAGAGATGTTCTGGTTGAACTTCAGAGAACAGGATGGGGAGCACATGGACAGATGGGTGGTACATGATTAACACGCAGTGAGGTACAAGGATTCAAGGTCGCCTGTGTTGTTTTGTCTCAGATACCAATGAAAATATCGAGAAGCTGAACCGGTCTGTAAAAAACAAGACCGTTCTGTGTCCTGTTTGAACGAGGCCATCTGGCCCAACAGGCAGAAATGTCAGAAACAAATGATTATAAACCGTCATAAACCAACACCAGACGATAGAAACAACAACATGTAGCAGATGTAACAGTCAGTATAATAAGGACCATAAAGTGTATACACCTTAAAGAATCTCTAAACTCAGAGCAAACTACAACACCAACTACAGATCTATGGAGCACAACATGTTGGCCTTTTTATTCTCTTTTTAGATATGAAGTGCGGACAGAAGGCTCCATCTGTCTGCATAGCCAACGTTCAGGCTGCTCTCATAAACTGTACATTTTCCTACGAAAAGTAATACACTGAAATTCTTACATACCCAAGGTATTTTGAAAGGCTGCTGTCATGTGACCCATGCGTTGACAGATTAAACAAGGAAGCGGTCCCAAGCCATCTTGCAAGGAGGCAGGCTGGGGTGGTCAGTAGGTCCAGGACTTTCCCCTGAAGTCACGTGTTTGCAACTGAGTGAACTTTGAGTCATTTTAAGGTAAGTGCTCACCCTGTTTCTTCTCCTAAACCTAACCTCAGTAACTTTATGTTAATTACGTAACTGTAAGTTATGGATGTAATGTCATTTGTGGGGCGCTAATGCCAAGGATATCATTCGAACCGTTCTGTGAGAATATGTTGTAACGTTATGAATAAATGAGCCCTTAAGGCTGATTTATACTTTTATACTGATTTATACTACATTTATAACGTCATTCGTGGGGCGCTAATTTGTGGGATATCATACGGACTGTTCTATGAAGGTACATTCTAACGCTGAGCATAAATGAGCCCTTAAAGGGAAATTTCGGTTTATTTCAACCTGTCTCCTATCGTCCTAAATTTGTTTCAAGTGACTAGTGACATAAAAATAATAGTTAGCATGTTAGCCGTTAGCCTAGATACAACCGGGGCGCACAGTAGCGTCAGACCTGTTAAAACGTAAGTGAACGGGCAACCTTCAAGTGCAAAGTTAGTCCACTAAACAAGCTTTTTTTTCCACAAAGACCGCCTCATATCGTTAGGATAAATGTCAGAGAACATATAGAAAACGACATGTAAACGTGTTGTCTTACCTTACCGGTGTGCTGCCATGTTTGTTTACCATTTAGCTCTGCTTTCCAAAGCGCGGCCGAAA